TACGCCTCTGATATGTTCTGGTTCCGCTTGGGGTCCTCCCTTGGGAACACGTGCATTGATTTCCGCTTGGGGTCCTCCCTTGGGAATGACTGCGTACGCCTCTGATATGTTCTGGTTCCGCTTGGAGTCCTCCCTTGGGAACACGTGCGTTGATTTTCGCTTGGGGTCCTCCCTTGGGAATGACTGCGTACGCCTCTGATATGTTCTGGTTCCGCTTGGGGTCCTCCCTTGGGAACACGTGCGTTGATTTCCGCTTGGGGTCCTCCCATGGGAATGGCTGCGTACGTCTTTGATAAGATTTGTGTATATGCTTTGTTTAGTTATGATATTTGATTATATGATATGTTATACGAGATATGTTCGGTATAGTATGATATATGATGTTTTGTATATTATGTATCTGACTGTCATGCAGGAAGTGAGCCCAGGGTATGGAGTGTTCTCTATAAACCTAGAGCTTACTAGAGATTCGTCTCTAACCCCGTTTGGGGATATGATTTCAGGAACACAGTTAATTGAAGAGCCCTCATGGGACAAGGACACTACCCGTGGCTAGAGGTACTAGTATGAGGATATGGAGTTCTGGGTGGCCGGACGCTACTATCTATTATTTATGTTATTTCGTATTCCATTATTTTGTGGATCATGATCTCTGATCCTTTATTTTGTATATGGCCTTATATAGTTTGTACATGTTTTCTGTTTTGATGCATGTACAATTATGTATTCAGGCATGTTTATATTCCGATGTACTATTCAGTTATATGCTTACATGTTGGATTTGCATGTTGTTAGACATAGTGGCACGGAGCCAAGTTATGCATGCGTCCATGGATGGGTATAGAGTCCTTTATAGATATCTGGTATTTCTGAAATTATATATGGTATAGACTGTATATCAGGAATATTTGAGAGTGGGATTGGAAAATCCCCAGTTGTCCAATTTACAGGGGTTACTCTGCCCGATTTTCGTCTTCCTCAAATACGAATTAAATTAGGAGAAGTATGCAATGCGAGATATCATGTGAATTAAGAATAATTAGAAGTAAAAAAAAAAAAAGTTAGCTCGTATTTTCGAAAGCTAAGTCTTCCGCTGTTTATGTTTGTATCATATGTATGTTAATTGAACCGGCTCGAGACGGGGATGTTACATTCCCCAAAGATAATGAAATATATATTTTATTCCATTTCAATTTCTTCGCATTGGAGTAACGTTATTCCTTGTTAGCACTTTTACCAAAAGTGTTATATCAGGTGACATATTATTGGCAAGAAAAATTCAAGCCCTAATTGCATTTAGTTATGGTACTTTAGGACCAAGGAATTCTTCATAATATTTTTGAGAACAGAAAGTATCTTTCTCACTTTTAAGAGATTAAACAACCATGATGTTGAACAAGTGGCCTCAAACTCAAGAGGGGGGTGAATTGAGTTTTAAAAATATTTTCACAAAATGCCTCACTTTCTTTCTTGAAAGCGATTTTCTTGAGTTAATATAATTTGGCACAAGCAAAGCTTAGAGAATAGAACTTAATACAAGCAAATAGTATGTAATGTGGAGATATAAATAAGTTCAAGTAATCAAATAATGCTAATGTAAAGAGATAAAGAGTTAGAGAGATTGCAAACATTATATATCCTGGTTCGGTCACCACCACCGTGACCTACGTCTAGATTGAAATCGCCCGTTCAACTTTCCACTAATTATCAAGCTTCAAGGGTGCTTGACAAACCACTACAACCTTCAAGAATATAGATTCTTGAAACCTTTACACTTCCACTCACTTGCTTAGGTTATGAGCAACTTCTTTCACTAAGGTCTCACTACCCTCAACACAAATGAACAAAATGAGAGTATTTAGAAAAGGATTTGTACTCTTGAAGTACAGATTATACAAGTTGAAGTTTATAGGTATTGATCAATTACACAAGAATAAAGCTCAAAGTTGATTTATGATCAAGATGATGGAAAGTAAGCAAATGATGTGAAATAAAGCAAGAATTGTGATTTTGATAGATGTCCCATCAAGGGGAACAGTGATCACCATTTATAGAGAGCCCCCATTACCCTTTGCACACTCATTTTCGCAAAACTAGCCATTTATAGCCGTTATACTGCTTACTGTCTAGTAAGTATTCGAATACTATTCGTGAGGTATTCAAATACTTCAACTGGTATTCGAATACTTTTCTTAAGGTATTCGAATACTTTGTTCTCAGCACAAGTATTCGAATACAGTCAAGAGAGTATTCAAATACTATCTTGACAGAACATCAATTATGCAGTTTTATGAGTTGTAAAGCATACATTTTAGTCTCTAATCACTTTTAATGTATTTCCTTGACTTGTACAGAATGTTTTGAGGTTACGAAATATGTCAAGGGTCTTTTTCATAATAATTAAAGCTTTTAAGTGATTGATGACATGGATAATGCATGCATAGAGTTAAATATCCTTTGAGCTCATTTATGCATCATTAATCAATTACCTTTACATTTAGATATAAGCTCTCAAGAGCATGTTTCAATCTTGATCTTGTGTGTTGAATGATTTGCTCTTGTTGTCTTGTTTGAATTGCTTCCTTGAACTTTTGATTGTTGCGAGTTGTATTATCTTTAACGTTGCTTCTATGCTTGTTTGTTATCATCAAAATTCTTGCATAAGTGAACTCTTCATTTTAAGCGCATTGGTTTCACACATGATTGAACTGAAATGATGAGTTATGTCGATGTTAAAATATTTTAATATCTTCTCTATATAATTTGATTGATGAATAAACAATTCATTAGATAAATGCTTGATTTGCAAGTTGAGACAAAATTTAGTTATTTCAAGATGTTTCATTCAAAATCATCCTATCAATATTTTGTAGTTTTCTGAAGCTCTTCAAGAGTTTCAATAATATTTAAATCATCAACATACACCTCAATAATCATAAATTCATATATCGATATTTTAATAAAAACATATGGATTGATGGAGTTATTTATAAATATTCACTAAGATGATTGTCCCATGATCGTTCATATTGTTTAAGTCTATACAAAGATATTTTAAATCTTATAACAACTCTAGAGGTTTTGATTTTTATGCTTCAGGCATTTTTTATCCTTTTAGGACTTATATGTCACTATCAAATGATTCATATAATTAAATAATAATAATAACCATAAGTGCCTTTGGAATCCTTCAAAGATTTTCATATGTATATGTCATTATTTAGTGATCCATTATGAATATTGTCTCTACATTTATTAGACGTGTGTCAAAGCTTTCAAAGACCGTCAAACTAATCAAATATACAAAAGTAGTTGTATCCATAGCTAGAGAATAATTCTTCAATAATATATAATTGAAAAATCATACCTTATATTTCGCGATTTTCATTTAACTTATCCCCTTATACAAAGCAATGAAGGTAGTCATCCACCATGTAAAACATGTATGTTTTACAACAACAATCACATTTTCTTTCTTTATTCACTTTTTTCTTTTTGGGAAATTTTCAAAGAAGAAAATATTTATTTTAATTGGAACGGAATTTAATCCATAAAAGGTTATTAGCTAATTTAGTCTTGATAAGTTTTTAACATTAAAAATACTCTGCAAGTTAATATTTATCAGAACCAAATTGATTTTAAGCTATGACTAAAATTCTTTTAATGACCAATCCGATGTTATTAACTTTTTGACGATCAAATTGACCTTTCAAAAATATTTTAAAGACTAAATTATGATTTACTCTGGTTATTGAGCAGTGAGTGAGTAACTTGGTTCAAAGTATTGACTTCAACCCAGGGTGCGAATATTATGGCAAGAATTTATTCCCAAATCCATATCTGGCTAAACAAAAGCTCAATGGTTAATCCATAGGTATGATGGAAGCTGTTTTCAGTCTTCATAGATGTCAACATTTATTATAAGTTTCTTCTTTAAAGTCGACTAAGAGAAAGATTTTGGTTTGATGGTGTTTGAAGATGCATTATAAAGGTTCACCTTCATGATGCTTCCTCTTAAAAATAAGTATGGTACTAAGTAACAGATTTTATCTCAAAGTTGTTATATGATAAATTTATCTTAATTGAAACTTACATAATATATTATAGGCTTTATCTTGGAAGTTATAGAATCATAGGAAAGTTATAAGGTTAATTGAAAAGTTACAAGAGTCGAATTAATGAAGTTACATGACCACTAGTACAAGATTGAAAAGACAGTGGTACATGTACATGCCCACTAGTACAAGCTGGGACTTGTTGCTGAAATTTTTTTTGTTCAATTAAAGGAATACCAGGAGCGTGCGCAACAATTGGAATAATAATTCTACTTGGTTTGTGCTGTGTATGACTCAAGTGCTTGGGTTTAGAGACTCTGAAAGAAAGTCATAAATGAAAAGGTAATGATAATTATGGGTGTTATATGATTTATCCCTTATGAGCAATCAACATTAAAGGCAAACCCAGGCTGATTTTAAATTCGAGATCACAAAGAGCAACTTTATCACTGCTCCAAGTTTCGCACTCTACGCAAACATTATTGGGAAAAAAAGAATATCATACACAATGTGGGGAGTTTTGCAGAAGGGATACAACTCTTCATCCATAGTGCCTGTAAGTAATGTTTTAGTTCAGTTGCAACTCAATCTTTCAATAATAAATGGTATTGACTAAACTTTCCCAATGCAGTATAGAGACATTATACAAAATTTCCATGAGTGAAGCAATGCTATGATTTCTCCTGCTGCCAAAAAGTCACTTCACGTTCTATATCATCAACCCCTGGTTGAAATGCAGTTAATTTTATTCTGCCTTTTATTTAATTTCTCACTGAGGCTGTTGTATCATTACTGCACGTCAAAGGGAGAAAAAAAAAGGATCCACCTAATAAATTGAGAGAAAGAGAGGAATAAAAAGTGACAGTAGTGTTTTTCTTCACAAAGAAATAGAGTAAAAGGAATATGAGCAAAGGTGCTGCAATCCAAAGCCAAGTAAGAGTATGGATATCATGAGATTAAATATTCAGACCAGTTTCCTATTGTACTACCAACAAAATACCAATAGTGGTTACCTTGTTCTACATACAACTCAATAACTATTTGTTACAACATAGAAACTAGAATAAGTATATAAACATCCAAGTAAAGGAGTAATCAGAATATGAAGAAGATTTCTTATCAGTGGAGTTTGCCTTTTTTGAGTCTAGCAGCTTGGATCTGATCTGCAAGTGATTCTTCTTTCTGCATTTTTTCTCTCTTGATAAGCTCTAAATCCAACTTACTGTAGGTTGGAAAAATGGAATGAAAAACTTCTCCTTCTCTAGCTACTTCATCGTTGATGTTGTTACTTATGTGAACCTAAAGACAGGACAAACATACCCATCTTAGAAGCAAAGTGGCATAAATAAAAATATAACAAAAAAGGGGGTTGGGCACATCATATTGGAATGAATGTAAGAATTAAGGTCATACTACACAGCTAAACTGGATTGATGCTTATAAGAACTATAAACCACTCTTAAAAAGGGCAATTTCAATGCTACTTTGGGAATGGCATATTCCTGAGATAAATGCTAGTTTACTCAGCTTGTTTCCCTTCTTGGTCTAAACCCAAACTATCACAGGATAACCAAGAGCGTAAATGTTTTCAACTGACAAAACAACCAATTAGTTACTGGATTTAACAATTGACCTTCCCATTGCTATACTACAACAGAAATAACTTTGTGCAGCATTCTCCTCTATCTTTCAAATGAACTAGGATTGCACAGTTTAGCATAATATTTAAATTTAATTGCCTGTCAATAGGTATGCTACTCTTGTTCCTAATTGATTCATCATTTGCATTTATAAATAGCCAATAAATCAGGAAACTATAAATGCCTACCTTAGTTGAATTATTGCAAAGTTTGAACTCTTGAGAAACTTCCAAGGCATCTTTGCCTTCTTTTGCTTTTCTATGCAGCTGACTCTTTATATTCCCACTTGCTTTAGTCCTCCCTTGACGATCTTTTCTCTTTTGAGTGAGCATTACCTTTTTTATTGCTTTTATCCGTGCTTCTTTCTCCGCTTTTACCCTTGCCATATCTTTTGCTTTTTCCTTCTCTGTAAGACGCTGAAGCTGATAGAGGAGAAACATTTCCTGTTGTATCTTTACATAGCTATCCCATTCTAGTTCTTCTTCTCCACTCCCTCCTTTCTTAGCTACTTCTGCTATGCTCGCACTCCATGACTGAATGAATTTCTTTGCTTCAGCAATTGCCATCAGCTTTTCTTTTTCCTTTTCCTCAGCCAGCATAAGTTGGTGGAGTTCCAATTGTTGTTTTAACTTATTGTAGCTATCCCAATCTAGCTCTTCCTGACCACTTCCTCCTTTCTTGGCTGCATTAGCTATGCTTTGTTCCCATGAAAGGAAAAATTGCTCCCCTAACTGCTTTGACTTCAACCGCTCTTGCCAAACACGTCTCACCGAACAACTTATTTTTGCCTTGATTTGATCACTGCAGGAAGGTTATACTTGATAAAGATTAGAGAATGCATTGTCACTGGCTACATTCATTCAATGTTTGTGCACAAAGATCAAGATTCAAGACAACATAAAATTTTTGTCAAACACTATAACCAATGAGTACAAAATATACTTTAGAGTAGCTTTCAGGTGGTGTCAGTATGATCAATATCTTGCTCCAAATGTAATATTAGAACAATTTTCCTTTATATAATTTATCACTTTAATAAATTGGCTCCAGAAAAACATCAAACAACTTAAATAATTCACAGAAATTTTGTAGTTATAAAAAAATAGCAAGATATTAGTATGACAACAATTAGAGTAAAAATGTAGAATGGCATGTTGTTAGACAAATGAGCCTATATATATATCATCTAGTCAGACAAGACAAGCAGCAATAACTAACAAATTCAGATGTAATATCCTAAAATAGACCATTAATCTAAGGAGTAGTTCCTATTGCATTTTGTTTCTCAATGCCAAGAAAGAAACAATTCTGTGCCATTTATACAACCTTAATGCCTATGTTATTCCACCATAATTATGTACAGTAGGAACTTCCACATGTAAATCTACAGTCTAAACCCAACTCTTTTGTAGAAAATTAGAATTCAAACATGTTTCCGTTTTTATTTCCTATTAATTAGGATTGATTATGATTGATTATGATTGATTAGGATTAATTGTGATTGATTAGGATTGTGATAGGATTGATTAGTCATCGCTTAGTCATTCTTAGCGATTCTTTCTTGTATAAATACTCACTCATGTAATTTATTCAATATCTATATACAAAAACTTCTTTTCAATATGGTATCAGAGCGGGTTCGTTCCTACCCTAATTCAAATCTGAAATAACCATCCAAACACTTCCATCACCGTCAAACACCTCCTAAACACCGCCTTGAATCTGTCCAACACAGAAACCTTGTTTACTGACCTCCGATCAAAAAAGTGAGGTGACCATTCGACTCAGAAGGATCTGACGAGTCGACCGCCGCTGGACCCATCGCCGTCAGCCGCTGCACGCGCCACCACGCGCCGCCTTCCAGACGTTTTTTTTTCCGTCGCGACTTGCACAGACCTTCTCGCCAGCTTCTCCCCTTCCTGTTCCAGAGGTCAGATCAAAAGTTTACAAAACTTGATTTTTCATCAACGGTCAACCCTTCTCTTTTTATTCATGGCTTCCTCAAAACACTCTTTTTATTACCACGAGCAACCTCCTAAGGCCACTAGTCATGTGGTCCAGCAAGGTACAACTTTCCATGTTGATAGTCAAAATCATTGGATCCTTGATTCTGGAGCCTCTGATCATATGACAGGTAATCTTGGCTTGTTTTGTTCATACACTCCATATTCTGAACCTTCTCGGGTCAAGATCGCCGATGGCAGTTTTTCCCAGATTGCGGGACACGGAACCATTAAACTTTCTGAGCTGATTACTTTGACATCAGTTCTTTATGTTCCTTCTCTGACTTGTAATCTCATTTCCATTAGCAAGCTCACCTCTGAGTTGCATTGCTTTGCTAAATTCTTTCCACATGGTTTGTGTTTTTCAAGAACAGGACTCGGAGAGGATGATTGGCAGTGCTAGAGAGGATGGTGGACTTTACTACTTTGAGGAGGATGTGACTCATGAAGCTGTTTTCGTAGAAAAAAACTCTATGTTTCCTTTTGATTCATGTAATGATGTTATGCTGTGGCATCGTAGGCTAGGCCATCCAAATTTTATTTATCTTCAGAAGTTGTTGCCAAACTTATTTATTAATAAAAGTCCAAGTTTGTTTTCTTGTGATATTTGTCAACTTGCCAAGCATACTCGTGCTCATTATCCTTCTAAAGTTCACCATGACTCTTCCCCATTTTCCTTAATTCATAGCGACATATGGGGTCCAGCCCGTGTTAAAAATATTTCAGGTACTCGATGGTTCATTACCTTCATTGATGACCATTCTCGAGTTTGTTGGGTGTATCTTCTAAAGGATAAGTCCGATGCTGCATCCGTGTTTAAAAAATTTCATGCCATGGTTCAAACCCAATTCCAAGTTGCTATACAAATTCTTCGTACAGATAATGGCAAAGAGTATTTTAACTCTATTCTTGGAGAATATCTTTCCCAACATGGCATCCTTCACCAAAGCTCGTGTCCTGACACACCCCAACAAAACGGAGTTGCGGAAAGAAAAAACCGACATCTCCTTGAAGTTGCTCGGGCTCTTATGTTTACCACGAGTGTTCCTAAATATCTTTGGGGAGAGGCAGTTCTCACTGCCTCGTATCTGATAAATCGAATGCCATCTCGCATTCTGAAATTTCAGTCTCCTCTTTCTAGTCTTGTTCGTATCTTCCCTTCCTTCCGAGGTGTCTCCTCCTTACCTCTCAAGTTATTTGGTTGTGTTGTATTTGTCCATATTCCCTCCCATCAACGGTCTAAGCTTGATCCTAAGTCTCTCCAGTGTGTCTTTATTGGTTATTCTCCTACTCAACGTGGCTATAAGTGTTATTCACCCTCTCTTCGTAAGGTCTTTGTCTCTATGGATGTCACTTTTTCTGAGAATGACCCTTTCTTCCCCTCGACTTCTCTACAGGGGGAGTCTATAGGAGTAGATGAAGATCAGTCATGGGAACCTATTAATGCCACAGTATTACCTCTACTTTTGGAAACAGGGGGAGCTACAGAATCCTCACCATCAGGAGCCTCCTCAAAATGGGGACAAGTTTATAGCAGGCGAAAGCCTCCTCAAAGTGTGAATAACCCAGAGCCTCTACAATGCCAGGATTCTAAACCATGTTCTAGTTCCAGCAACCCAATACTTGAGTGTCATGGTGAAAATGATCTACACTTGCCCATTGCTCTCAGAAAAGGTACTCGATCTTGTACTACTCATCCTATTTCTAATCATATTTCATATGGAAAGTTGTCCCCAGGGTTTCGTGCTTTCAATACTATGTTGGATAGTACAAAGATACCGAGAAATATACATGAGGCTCTCAATGATAAAAAATGGAGGGATGCTGTCTTTGAAGAAATGAATGCTTTAGAAAGAAATGGAACTTGGGAGATAGTGACCCTACCCTAAGGAAAAAAGGCAGTAGGATGCAAATGGGTGTTTACAATAAAATTCAATGCAGATAATAGCATCAACAGATACAAGGCAAGATTGGTTGCAAAGGGTTTCACTCAGACTCATTGGATAGATTATCATGAGACTTTTGCTCCGGTTGCTAAAGTCAATACCATCCGAGTTCTCTTATCTCTTGCTGCCAATCTAGATTGGCCTCTGCAACAGTTAGATGTGAAGAATGCATTCCTAAATGGTGACTTACATGAAGAAGTCTATATGGATCCTCCACCTGGTTTTGAAAAGGGAAATGGATCAGTGTGTAAACTAAAAAAGTCTCTATATGGATTGAAACAGTCTCCCAGAGAATGGTTCGACAAATTCACACAAGCAGTCAAAAGAAGAGGCTTCATTCAAGCACAGACTGATCATACTCTCTTCCACAAACACTCTAAGGATGGTAAAATTGCTATTCTTATTGTATATGTAGATGATATAATTCTTACAGGTGATGATATTGAGGAATTGAACACCTTGAAGAAATTTCTAGCAGCTCAATTTGAACTCAAAGACCTTGGCACTCTCAAATATTTCCTTGGTATGGAAGTTGCTAGGAGCAAAACAGGCATCACTCTAACACAAAAGAAATATGTTCTAGATCTTTTGTTGGAAACAGGAATGTTAGGGTGTAAACCTGCTGAGACACCTGTGGAACCTAATACCAAGTTAGGTATTGAAGATGGGAATGAGGTGGATAAAGAACAATATCAGCGATTGGTTGGTAAACTAATCTACTTATCTCATATGCGTCCTGACATTGCCTTTGCGGTGAGTATGATTAGTCAATTCATGCACTCACCCAAGGAGAAGCATCTTAGTGCAGTCTATAGGGTGCTTAGATACCTCAAGAATACTCCAGGAAGAGGATTATTCTTTAAAAAGGGGTATAAAAGGACAATTGAAATCTACACTGATGCAGATTGGGCAGGCTCATCAGTAGACAGAAGATCTACCTCAGGCTATTGCACCTATGTGTGGGGAAATCTTGTTACTTGGAGAAGCAAAAAGCAAACAGTGGTTGCAAGAAGTAGTGCTGAAGCAGAATTTCGAGCTTTAGCTCATGGAGTTTGTGAAGGAATCTGGTTGAGAAGACTTCTTCAAGAGTTGAAGATTTCATATTCCCTACCAATAAAACTATATTGTGACAACAAGGCAGCTGTTAGCATTGCTCAAAATCCTGTGCATCATGATCGAACAAAGCACGTGGAAGTTGATCGTCACTTCATCAAAGAAAAATTAGATGATGGAAGTGTGCATTTGATATATGTTCCAACCAAAGAGCAAACGGCAGATGTCCTTACCAAGGGCCTACACCATCCAGCATTCGAAGACTTGATTGGCAAGTTGGGAATGATCAATATTTACCTCCCAACTTGAGGGGGAGTGTAGAAAATTAGAATTCAAACATGTTTCCGTTTTTATTTCCTATTAATTAGGATTGATTATGATTGATTAGGATTAATTGTGATTGATTAGAATTGATTGTGATTAGGATTGTGATAGGATTGATTAGTCATCGCTTAGTCATTCTTAGCGATTCTTTCTTGTATAAATACTCACTCATGTAATTTATTCAATATCTATATACAAAAACTTCTTTTCAATATCTTTACACCCCCCCCCCCTTATTTTCTGTATTAACAAAGAAGTAGTTACACACACTAATACTGTTTTTTGTGAAGTATTTCTAAATTATGAACACCCAGGAGTCCAAGAACAGACATGACATTATCCCCTGAACCTTGATATTTTGTTTCACCATTCATAAACTATACTTTTCCATGGAATAAGATTACATTCTGTTTTGAGGAGACATATAGAAAAACAGTATGACAGAAATGTTTACCTATGAGGACGGGGATGTTCAGCCATCTTCTTCCTCACCTGAAAATTTGTCACGGAGAAATGAGGAAAAAGTGAATACAAATTAATAGGTGAATGAAGAGAATGGAACTACCTAGCAACAGAAAATTATTCTTTTTTAAGGCAACTAGCATTTGAATACTTATAATAAGGATAGGAAGGAACTCAGAACCAAAATAGTCTTCTAGTATCCTAAACAATTAAATCATTGGAATAAAAAGGCATGTCATGTGAACACATAAAAGGAGGAACACTCCAAAAACTGAATGACTCTTACTTGACTTCACCTTGGGGTCCATCAAAGCCTCTGATGTTCTTCGCTTGATTAGCTCGCAGGTCTCTGCATTGTGTGCAGAATCACTTATACAAAATTAGCCAACCATAAGGTATATCAATAAAGGGCAAACCTAGTGCACAAGACTTCCCGACTTGCGAGGGTAGGAATGAGGGTCAATTGTCGCACCCTCACCTTTGCATTTTTGCAAAGAGACTGTTTCTCAGACTCGAACCCGTGACCTTCCGGTCACACTGAATAACCTTACCGTTGCTTCTAGGCTCGCCCTCAACTATAAGGTATATCAATGTTAACTATAAATGTAAACTACCTGCAGTGTGTTTCTTTCCTTTGTTCCATGGTACTCTTCCTTTGTTTGCTAATCCTATTTTCATTCTTCTAATCCTTTCCTTGAGAGCCTTTTTACTGAGAGATTTAAGAGAACCACTATGGCGTACAATTCCATTCCCATTGTTCAAATAATCAGAAGAATTATCGCTAACTTTTGATTGATTGTACTCTTCAGCAACAGATGCTTCTCCATCATCAACATTTATTGCTAGCTCTTCAATGGGGAGAACCCTTTGGGAGGAACAAACAAATTTTAATTTGGGGAATGAAGTCTTCAACATAGACACTTGAGGAAGCACTTGTAGGGTTGTTGGAGGGCAAAATGTGCAAGTGCAATCTACCACATTGCTCAAGAGTGGCCATGAATCAGTGTTAGAAATATGAGTTAAGGGAGAAGAAAGTGGAACATACATTCCTCTGACACTGGCAGAAATTCAAGTGAAAATCTTGATTAGATAAAGTTCAAGACACAAAGCAAACTGATAAACCTGTCCACTTATGCATAAATTATCAAACTACCCACATGCCCATGAAGAATTAAATTTATCATGCATATAACTAAAGAAACGTAGCATTTTTCATGTCATTCATACTGGCTACCATGTCATCACAATTTCTTTGTTAAAACAACAAAGATGTAATGTTAAAGCCAATTAAAATACACACACACACACAGAGAGAGAGAGAGAGAGAGATTACACAGAGTTGAAGTGGAGCATTCTGGTTGAAGTGGATAATGCTGCCACAAAAATGGAACATGAAAGCGGTGGAGCTAATGGCTGTTCCCAATCCTATCTAATCTCCTGTATAAATACACTGTGCTTTGCGTTTGCTATGTCTTAGGTTTTTTTTCCCCCTTCTTCTTCTTTTGACTTTATTTACAAAGATAAGATATAAAAAGTTTTTATAATTGGGCTGGACCATATTACCTTGGACCTTTACTTGTAAATCCATATTTTTTTTTTGGTAAGCTAAATCCATGTTTTTAATTAGGTGCGTTATAGACAATCTAATTACTACTTATTTATTTTTTTATTAATTAGTTGTTACTTTTTAAGTACTTAATTATAAATTGTTAATTTGTTTCCAAATCAGTTTAATTTATACTTTTTACAATGACTCTCAAACATAATTTTTTTTTGGTAACAACATAAAATTTTATTTCTAATTGAAATTAAATTTAACCAAATCAAATTAATTATATTTTATATTGATTATAAATACAATATCGATCATATTTTATTTTTATTTTAATTAGCTTTGATAAAAATTTAAAATATTTTCAAATATTATTTCAATGTACTAGTTTTTTTTAGACTGGAAATTGTTATAATTATAATTATTATTATTATTATTATTATTACTACAATATACACATTATAGTATCTTTTAATGCAATTGTGATGTGTCACTTGGAACATAAAGATTACATAATATGATTTTTTTTTTAATTATTGACAGGTCAACAATTATACATTCAGAAATGTATTGCTTTTGCTGGACACAATTAGTTAAGGGTTGGTCCATATCATATAAAAATGTGGGTTCAAACTCCGTTGGTGAATGTTAAGAACTTTGTTGATAAATGATACGTAATCTCTTCCAAAAAATTTCATAGAAGTTAGAGGGTCTTTCCTAATCTTAGTAGGATACTGATGTCTAACCTCATTTAAATTTTTTATATTAAAAAAAATGTATTGCTTTTTTTTAATAAAATAATAACAAAAAACAAAGATGACAAAACGGATAATCAAGACAGAGAGATGAAACTGAACAAGGTGTCGAGAATGGGTGATGCTGTCACCGGCGGTGGCTGTTGAAAAATAAGCAATCAACTCAAATTGAACATGAATAAGTCTGAAAGCCCATAGGTTTGCTTCTCCTATCGTTTTCAATATTTTATAAGGGTTATATTTATCTCATTTTACATAAAAGAAATAATTTTTCTATACACACAAAAAATGATGAGTCCTACCACTCTTTTTTCTCTCTCCTGTTATCTATGAATCACATTTATAATTTTATTTCTACAACGTGAGATAATTATTTTCCTACGACATAAGAAAAATATTTCTCATTTTATATCCTTCAAACCCATAGAAGCATTACACGAAATCAATCCCCTAGGGACATTTGCATTTTTTTTATTCCCTTATCATATGCTGATTCCATGTTGATCTTAATTAGGGGTGAAACTGGACCGGACCAACCTACAGGGGCTTACAGCTCGGGCTACGTCAGGCCAGACTTGACCTAGTATATTTCGTAAAATAGGTCGGGTTTGAGCCTTGAAAAAGCTTGTTTAATAAAAAGGTTGTAAGCTCACTTTCACAAAGGCTGACCTATAAGCCTGCAGGGCGGCCTATATTATACTATTTATTTTAAATAAAATAAAATATAATAAGTATGACTTGAAGAAAAAATAAAAGATATAAATTTAATCAATTGCAATTATTTATAACTTAATTATATTCGATTATATTTTAAAAGAAATCTTACTTTATTTCTTATGTAGGAAGAACCAACATCTTAGCATGTTAGATTGTGTATATGAATATATTAAAAGGTTTTGGAAGATGTTATACTTACTACAAACATCATGATGTGTTTGCTAGATTCATGTAGTTATTTTAATTTACATAATATGAATTTGTTTGTTGGATCTGATGAAATATATGCTATTTAGTTTGAGCATTTTGCTTTTGAAATTGACTTAAATACAGATTGTATGAGTTTTTCATGATTCTGTTTGGACGTTGAAATTATGATCTTTGGTTTAGCAACATAATTTGAGTATTTTATAAAATTGATTCATGGTTATACTTGAAAGTTAAAAATTAACAGACTAACAGGTTAGGTCAGACCATTTATTTTTTTATAAACGGATCAAGTCAGGCAAACAATTAGAATCGTCCTATGCTTGGGCCAGCCCAAATTGAAATTTTTGAGATAAGCTTGTACTTTTCAGAACAAAGCTTGACTCAGCCCAGTCCACGTTCACCCCTAATCTTAATCATCCAGAATTATCTATATATTACCGCGTGCCCATTCAACACGGGACCTTCTTATATAATTCAAGTTCAACTCTTTAATTTTTATTTTTTTTTACATTCAACTCTTTTATTTTATTTTATTTATTTATTTTAGTACAATCAACTCTTTTATTTTGAATTCAAAATGTGTACATCAAAGTTACCAATAATTAATTAATCAAAATGTCAAATGACGAGACTTGAAATTTACATACATAATAAACGTAAAAGTAGTTCAATCCTCGCATTAATTTCTTAACCAGCAAGGAATCCACAACTATTTAAAGAAGTAACTCTGAATCTTACTATCAAACAAACAATAACCATTGAAACAAGTGATCCTTGGTGGCCTATAATAGCTTTTTTGTGAAACACATGGATTCAAAGAACAAAGGTTATGAGTATAAGTATAACATCATTCCTTCAGACGAGCCCTTCAAACAGAAAAAGGAACCAATCATAGAAGTGGAATATGCACCCACCATAGTTGAGAAAGGGAGGAGGAGGAAGAAAGGTAAGTTTTTCTCCAAGAAGACGTTCTGTATTTGCTGTTCAGATGTTGGGGTTGAGTCCAATATTCTCGACGAGGTGATCAAGGAAGAGCAAAAGAAGGGTGAGTTTTCAAATGTTGAGACTGAATCAGATAAAGTGCTTTCGGCTTTGAAGAAGCTTAGGAACAAGTCACGTGTCATGATTTGTTGTTCCTCCATTAAAGTGGCCAAAGACGAGCAACAAGAAGGTTAAGTAATTGTGGAATAGAAATATAGAATAAATGTGTGTCGTCTTAATAAATTTTCTTAATAATCCTTTTAATTAGTTAAATAAGAAAGTATTAAATGTTTTTTTATATTCTCAATCAATTTTATAATTTGTGTTTGGGTGTGTCGCATTGAAGAAAGTTGTGCCTTGTGTCACTGTAATGTTTGTTTGGTGGATAATCATTTTCAATTTATATAAATACTTTTGATGTTTTTTTTTCTTTTGCATAATAATTTATTGTTGTACAAGAAGTTTTTTTTTTTTTTTGTTTATCAGTTTTATGTAAAGTAATATATTATTCTGGTCCTATAAAGACATAAGTGCCATTATTTTGGTACTTCAAGACTTTTATCATAACCCTAAAGGGGGACGCTACAGCTTGTAAGTGAGCTCTGTCGAAAAGCGGATTATTAGAGTTAAAAGTTCTATGGTTCGAATTTTAGACAAAATAACTTGGGATTCATGGCAAAAATCTTTATGTTTTATAACACGAAAGGAATTAAATTTATTCAAATGAATGGGGAAATCCCTACAAGAAAAAACTTTTATAATTATTTTAGGCCTATCAATAATATAAAGTTTCATCAATTTGGTTCTAAAATTTTTTAAGAGTGTTTTTGAGAGTTAATATTTAGAAGGAAAATGAAGGAAGGGAAAGGTTTTGTTTATATCACGAGTTTTGAAAAATAGGAGAAGGGAACAGGGAATCTATGTAAAATCCTCTAGTATTTTTTTCTCCCTTAAAATTAGAGTTCCCCAATTCGAGAGGTTTGAGAAGAAAAATATAAACAAATTACTTATGTGCTCTTGTCAGACAAAGAAGCTCTCCTAAATAAGGGCAGCACAATCCCTACTGTTGCCTCTACTCTAACCAAAGCTAATGCCCATTGTGATTGCGGCTCCAACCTGATTGTCCAGTCTGCCGCCACACTCGGCAACTTTGCCTGCAATGTCGATGCCCGCATTCGTTCCGTCCTCGACGTCGGTGCTTTCCCTCTTTTAATCAAGCTCCTATTTGCCACTGAAGGAGAAAATATTTTTTTTAGAGGGAGAATTAATTTTTTAAATATAAAAATTCCATTAATATTTTTTTAGACATTTTAAATTTAATTTCGTATGTAAAATATAGCAAACATATTAGTTTTTAAAGAAATGGTAAAATTGTAAACATATCTCATTAACTCTTTATTCTTCTCCCTTATCGTATTTTCAACTTCCAAACAACGGAAAAGAATACCTTTCATTTTTCTTCCCTTCCTTCCTTCCTTTCCATCCCCCTTAAATCCCCTTCCTACCTTTCCTTTTCCCTTCAAACTCCAATGCATATCCTTACAGTAATTTAATCTCTTAATAATGTATGTATCAAGAAAAGAAATCTCTTAATAATGTAAAATATTATTAAAATAGTCCTTTAATAATATAGAATGTCATTAAATAACATTTTACATAATCAAAAGATTGATGATAGTTTTTTATGACTAAAATAAATGCATTTGTAATTTTAGAGAACAAAATTAGATGTTAAATGTAAGAGATCGGTGACCCTGTTGAAAGAATTTTAGAATCCAAGCATTCATAATATCTGTGACCTTGTACTGTTGTAAACTTGTAGGTAGGTTATAATATTTGCAAAAATAAAAAGAGGAAGGATATTCTTACTATCAAATTTTTTTACTACTAATTTACTTCCTATCTAATCACCATTAAATCAAAGAGAGAATGCTAAAAAGTTTTTAAAGAAAGAGAAAATGTTGATCCAATGGTGATTAGATAGGTAGTGAGTTGGTAGTAGAAGATTTTGATAGTAAGAATAGTCCTCCTCAAATAAAAAATGTCCGAATTTCTTTGATTTGATTTTGTTCATGAGCTTATTTAGTTTTGTTGGAAATTCTTTTTAGAATAACAGAATATTTATTATCTGATTTTAGATATAAAAATAATGGATTACAATAGTTTAAGCTTGACCATGGTATCGAACATTGGAACATGCATCTAATCTTTATAACAACTATTCTGGCCAGTTCTAAGTCATTGACCCATGACTTA